GCTCTTCGTGCGTGATGAGAGACTGACAGCTGCGAGCAGCTTTTGCGTCTGTGTGGCCCCAAGGCAGGTTCCAAAACAGACTTCCATCCCTCACCACGAAAAGGATCAAACCTTCTTCAACAGGGAGTTATGGAATATTTGAGTGCCAGTTACTATTACTACTGCAAATGTTGGCCTATGTGATGTTAGTTTTGGCTGTATTTCGGTTCTGGATTACATATAGGACTCTAGATACTTCATTATCCAGGCTTGGCTATATACTGATCAGCATATCATCTATTCATTTTCACCTTAAAATGGTATGATTTTGTTTGTGTATTTGTGTGTGATATCTTGAAAAGATGTTTATACTTCTGGGAGACCACTTACATGGGTTAGGTGGTAAAATGCTGAAGTGCTCTTATGTCATGACATTGTCTCAGAGATTGTCTCTTTGGCTTTTCTGGATATTAAGAAAAAAATCTTCAGAGACATATGTAATTAATTTTAATTAGCATTCACATTGGACTGATCTGAAATGGCACGCCTTGATAGAAAATGTTAGTCATTGCTGTTAACTCAGAGCAGATGGTCATTTTTGTTTCTTTATAATATACCATTTGTGGAGCTTGTAGTAGAGCTTTCTTATATGGAAAATAGTGCATATAGTCAGACCAGCCGTTGTGGAATTACAGGTGTCTAAAATGGTAGACTGAGACTAAGATTGAATAAGCAGAGTGTATACAGTGGAGTTGCAGGTTCAGTAAGTAGAAACCGTACAATAGAGTTTCATCCAAGATTATCTTTCCCGATTGTGCATGTATATTTGGAGTTATTTTCTCCCTTTTTCATTCTAGGTGACTATTTATGAAACCCATGTTTTGTATGATTTCAATCAAATAAGAACTATCTAACAATTGAATCTTTTGTGTTTTTCATGGAACAAAATTGGGCCGATTTGCATTTGGTTCTAGATGTCTAATGTTCATTTTAATTCTGCTTGCATCCTAATAAAAAGAACAGATGTTTACTAAAAAATTGTTTGAGATGATAAGCACGGTAGTTTGAAATCCCTGTAAAAGAAGATATTCTTTTATCTTTCAGTCTGTGAGTAGCCTCACTTGTTTCAGTGCAACTGCTGAAGTTAAATGTGGTTTTGTGTTCTTTGGAGGATTAAAGTTCTAAAAATTTCACTAATATTCTTGCTCTGTAATTGCTGTTCTGTCTCCTCCCTTATTGGCAAGAATAAATACATCTTAATTTAATCTTGGTTTGTATTTTCTCTCTATATAAAAAAATTACATGCATATACAGTACATCTTTGTGTACTGAAATGTCCCAGATCCAACTCAATCTAAAAGCTGTCTCTGCATACGGTTAATATGTGGATATGCATTAATATATACGCATGTATATCAACTGGATTTGTAATGTGTCTACAATGGTTGTCCTTAAAATCTTTCCAGGTTTGTTGGAGATAAATATTTTAACCTTATCTTAGTATTAAGAAATTGCAAGAGATACTATACCTCTTGAGGTCTAGCACTTGAGTCTGCTCAGATAGCAAGCAGTTTTGCTGCGCAACTGCTGTAGAGGGAAACCTACTGGTATTGCCTACACCTCGGTAGGCAACTGAAAATTCTTTCTGGGAGGTTTTCAGTTGTGTGTTATTCACCTGTTGGTCCTGGATTGTATAGTTCTGCTAGTCTACAGGCAATCGAACCTTCCCTACGCAATGTTGACAGCCTAGGTTGGGACAGGAATCTCGGTAACTCTCAGCCAGGCTGTCTTCAAACTTGTCTGGCCCTTCTCCGTTTCCTCTTGTACACTTTCAAATATCTTACTCCATTCCTGCATTTTCATGTTAGGATCTGTCTGTGATTGGAGGGGTTAAAGAAATACCTACGGACAATGTAAAGGTCATTTCTGCATTAGAAAGTTCACTTTGGGCCCTAAAATATATAGGGGAAAGGAAACAAAGGTATGCTGGAAAAAAAGGTAATAAAAAAATGAAGAAGTTGTTGGGTAAGCAAAGTTACAGCTGGGTGTCTGCTGGACTTTCAAGTAACGAGCCTGGCCTAGGGAAGGTATGTCCTGAGTGTGGAACCATTCCGGAATCAGAACTGATGCTTTTAGTCCAGCTGTCTGTTCATCTCCATAAGCAATGATGTTGGGTTTTTTTTCTGGAATGCAGTTCTTGAGGTTTATTTACCTAGAGTATAATAAAACCTGCAGATAACAAATGGTAACCCTTTGTATTTTTCACTCTGGGAAAAAAAAAGTAGTAGTATGTTAATTTCCAGGAATGCTACTATAGATATATTTTTGTATACTATGCAGGATATTAAGTTACAACGATGAGACTCTACAGGAGGAAGCAGCATGGGTAGATGTGGTATATGCATGTAGCTTTGCACACAGCTTCTCCGTTTGTGTGTTCACATTTAAAAAATGTTAAAATTCAAAGGAAATGTTGCACACAAATTGTACTTCTAGGCCTGTTCCCATTTATTGTATCTGTTTTGTTTCTACAGTCCCTTAGATTTAAAGATGCCTGAATATCAACAAGATTTGTCTTGTTGAGAGTTCATCTTTTTTTACTTCTTGCTATTCTGTATTATATCATTCTCTTTGATGTATAACATCCCATTTAGCTGTTAGAGAGATGACAATGATAACATGACCTCACCGTATTCCATATGGACTAAGTAGGTGAGGATTGAGTAGTAACTGTTTCTGTGCTGATATCTTCAGCAATTTTAAAAAGTGGAAGAGAGAACAAAACAGAAAATCTCGATTGTTTTCAAGAACGTTTTTACAGCTTTCCATGAGATGCCAGTGGATTCCTAATGAGTAAAACATGTTAATGTGTTTTTGTAAGATTCCACTAGTAAGAGAAAAAGGGCACAGTCTTTTCAGAAGTTACTCTGTGGGGTTTTTTTTTCCCTTTGAAAGGTTCCTGTGCCTGTCAGCCTTTCTGGAAGAAAGAAAGGCAAAGGGAGTCTAGTAGAGCTGATTTGGGAGGCAAGCATCCACTTGCCTACCCTACGGCAAGCTTCCTGTGAGTTCTGGATCAGTGCATACATCCTTCAGTTCCTCACTTATGCTGAAACTTGTGTCGTTTGTGGTGTGTGGGGGGTAAGATTGGCTACTCTAAAATGGTGGAGCTCTCTGGTACTACAGGGAGAGGGGCCTTGGAGAGCTGGAGACATCAACTGCTTGGCCATAGGTCCCTAGACCTATGAAAAGTCTTGGTATGGAGACAGGAATGCAGGACTGCCAGCTCCCGTGCATTCAAAGCAGTTGGCTAAAATCCCTTCTCGTATGGCTGCGCTTGATGTAGCAAGTCACAAAATGGCAAAAAGTTTAATATATAACGTGACAGTCCTGAAAAAATGTTTTCATAAGCTGGTGTTGTGTTGTTTTGCTCTTGCAGATAAGTATTTTTGGAACTTCCCTATCACTGTGTTTTACAACCTTTATTTGCTCTATTGTTATTTTTAGTCATCTTTTCTGAGACTACCCTTTTAACATTTCAGCTTCCTATTTCTTCAAAGTTATAGCTGCTTAGTTGACTTAGCCAAAAAACTTATCTCAGTAAAAGTTTCTCCTAACAATAAATTAAAGCATTTTTTCTCTGGCAATTTCATTTTGCTTCTCTCTTTATTTTTATTGAGTTCTTTGGGACCTGACCCTGCAGCGTCTCTTTGTCCCCTTGCAGACTTCTTCATGCTCGAACACATGCTGTTCAACTACAATTTTTCTACCCATCTATTTCCTGAGACCGCCCCAAAAAGCAGGGCTAGGAGCTGTCTGGTGACATTGTTGGTAAGGGAGAAGCGCTTCTGTGAGTGGGAATTACATCAAGTCAGTTGTATTCCGGCAGCGTGACGGTGAAATCCCACTGGTCCCGGCATGCTAAAGAAATTTGTCTAGGCAGTGATGATAATAATAGCTTTATTTCCTGGTTCTATAGTGTATTCAAATTGATCTTCTCAAAATATGGGGTAGAAATGACCTCTGTAGTTGCATAATGAAACCAAAGAACCCCTTGTCATTGCTGTCTTTGAAAGTGAAGTAATCTCTGTCAACCCCCCTCCCCATCCCCACTCCCCCTTCTCCATGGCTTGCTAAGGAAGGAAAACAGTCTGGTTGCGATGGAAGAATGATTCTTCTGCAACTGTTAAGATCCAGCAAAATGTGGTTTCCTAACCTTTGTCAGCTAAGCTTGTGGCCTTTCCTAAAAAGACTGTTGGCTGACAAATTTACAGCGATCTGGTCTGTATATAGAATTTGAATTCGGAAACTAATGGCTAAACCGTAAGGGGAAAATCTGTTCTGTTTATTGGAGAATTTACAAGTACCACCTTCCTATGGCTTATGTATTTTTCCTCCTTTCTCTTTTCTTCCATTAAGTGATTCCCTATATTTATCTAATTACATGAACTACCTGCAAGAGGTGTTATTTAAATGTGCCCCAATTTTCTTACTAGGACGACAGACATCAGAGGTTTGTTTTGTTTGTTTAAAGTATTTGATTATCATTGTCTTCTTTCCCCTTTTACTGATGATGTTTAAAGACTGACAGGAGTATATAATGTACTGAAAGGACTTAACATGGGAAAAAGTTGCATCGTTAATTATTTTGATATTTATTGATTTTGGCAGGAATCGGTCACAAGACGTGCACTTTTGTTGACGTGTCTTATGTGTTTGTCCTCTGTATCACAACAGCCTTTTTTCCTAAAAGTGCTCCATTTCCAGCAAAAGCTGGAAAATTGATTTTAAGTAGTTTCACGGTGCTTTCAGATGATTATTATTTCCAGAGCTGTGCTGTAGCATTCTAAGATATTTTTAAGTACTCCATGTAATTATTAAACAAGCACCTGTCCCATAAAGTCTGTTGTCCAAAACAATTACCAAGTAATTTCTGATCCCAAAGGATTTTTAATTTAAAATGCTGTATGCATGATACAGAGTAGTAAAATGCTAGTTTTACAATGTGGTGCTCTTTGTTTTAGGAATGTTTACAAGGATTACCGTTTCCTTGAGCTAGCCTGTGACTCCCAAGAGGAGGTGGATAGCTGGAAGGCATCTCTGCTACGAGCCGGTGTCTATCCTGATAAATCCTCAGTAAGTTAAACAGCTCACTAGTTTTCCAGTAGCTGCTCTGTTTGAGTCAGAAAAAACAATCGTATCATCTGGGAAAACACAATGTCTGCAAGATATCTCAAGAAATGGTAGTCTTTTCCTTATACTCTTCTGTGGTAATTTTGGAATATTCATAATGAAATATTTTAAGATCCAATTTGTGCATCAAACCTCAATATTAAAAAAACCAAAACAAACAAAAAAGCAAAAACAAAACCAAAAACAACTAACCCAACCTTCCAAAATGTTATTAATTGGATCTGCGTAGTGAAAGCATTGAGCAATTTGGGATTTCCTGAGCTTCATTGTTTCTATTAATGTCCTCTAAGGTAAAGATGTGCTTTGAAGAGTTTATTCCCTCAAGCTCTGTATTACAGAACTGACAGAAGCATTCCAGGCAATCATGTATATTTATTTTACTGATTCACTGCATGGTTTTTTGTGTATGAAAGACATGCTAAACCTTTCCAAAGGCAGTTTTACTCAGCTAATCGTCATGTGGAGCAAATTGAACAGGATACAGTAAAAAAAAGCCTCTATCAATTTAACAGAAAAGACAGAAAGTCAGGAAATGGAATGTGCCCAACTACCATTTCGTATTTTTTGGACTTACTTATTGTGATATTTAACATCGAGTGAAGTTTTGAGGAGATGTATCCAGAGAGAAGGCTGTCTAGCAAAAATACTTGTCATTTGAGGCTTTGAAAGTTTCTCCAATGCATGGTTCACCTTTTGTCAGTAGGTCTCCTGGTCTGCAAGATTTCTTCCATGGAAGATCTGTTCCGAGAAATGATGCTTGGATATTGATAAAATTTGTTCTTCTTCCTGCTTGTTTCCCATGGGAAGGCCGGACCCCTTGAGTCCAGGTCTTGTGCTCTTCCACCTTCTTCACCTTTTTATTCCTCAAATTTCCCTTATATTTCTGATTCTTCCATGGCTTCCAGTATAATTCTGTCTGCATCACCTCTGGCCGCTATTTAAGCGCACGAACAACCCTCAGCTCTTCTCTTCATACCACGTTTCAAGGCTACCATCAAAAGATAAATCAGGGAATCCTTGAACTTCTGGATTCTCCAGTTGTTGTAGGAATAAACAGTGGTGATGATGATGATGATTCTTTAAAATAGGTCAAATACGAATTTAGCAGGAGACTTTACTTTTTTTTTTTAAAAAAAAGTAAAAATTTGATCACTCTTCAGTAAGTTGCCTGTCCCAGTAGATCAGTTCTTATCTAAGACCATCAGAAGTCATTTTATAATGATTAGTTTTAAGAGGTTACCTAATTAATTACTAGGATCAAAATAGCATATTAGGTTTTTTTCCTTACTTAGGTTTTAATAATGATGTCAAAACAGCATGTTGCCTCCTCTGGTTTAATCTTGTATTCTGTGACATGTTTATCATATTCATATATCTGTTACTTTATATTTAAACAAGACAAACTAGTTGGATTTCTAATCTTCTCTTCTGTCTTCCTCTCTCTCCCATCCCCCTAAAAATATTTTGTATTCAAAATATGTTTTTGAAGAATTATTGGTTTTGTTTAAGTTAGTCTGTCAAAGAAGTCTTAGATACAAGATGAGAGACTTCCTTGAAAGACAAAAGTAGGAGGAGTCAAAATTCAGTTCTCCTTTGAGCTGGAATTATCTTTACATTACAAAAAAAAAAAAAAAAAAAAATTGTTCCAAACCCCTCTAGTTTTGAAATTCACCCAGTAGTCTGTCAAGCTGTGCAGGAACGATGCTTGATGCTACCCTAGTCTTGCAAAGCACTACACGGCTGGAGGTCCAAACACGGACCGTGAGCCCGCTGTTAAAGTTTTGAATTTCGTAAAGCCAAAGCTCCAAGGCTCAGGGTACCTGAGAAACTTCAGTGGAACTTAAATAAAAATCAGCAGCGTTTCATTAAAATCCTGTGCATACACAGCTTCACACCTTCCTCCGACAACTTAAAATAGTTTTAGAGACACCTCCCTCCAGTCTTTTATTCTCCTTCGAAGATTTAGAGACGGTATTTTTATGTAAGAGAGACTGCCAGGAAATGGCAGCAACTTGTGTTTACTTCAGTGCTTCCCCACAGCTTTGCGATCCCGGAGTTAAAAAGGCAGAGAGGTACCCTAACCCCTTCCCAGTCTGACCTCCTTGCTCTTTGTCATGTGCGAGTCACAGCTGGTAACTTTGAGTAGCCAAGGCTTTGGCAGCAGAAGTAGAAAAATTGCTGCTTAGAAATGAAAAATAGATTAATAGTGTTGTAAACCTGGAGTATTGCAGTGGTGAAGCTGGCCTGCTTTCTGTAACTGCCAGAGCAGTGTGCGCAGCCTGGAATTGGAAAGCTAAGCCGTGTGCTTTCATTAACAGCGCTGCTGCTCGTGTGCGAGGACGCTGATGTAAAAACCAACGCAGTTGCCCCTAGCTGGGTTCCTGCTGCAGTGGCAGGAGAAGTAGGAATTTGTCGCTGAATTAGAGAGATTTGTTCTGAATTTTCACCAGGGGCAAATCTCTCAACTAAGAATATTAATTTTTCTCTTGTATTTTAGTAGCTCTACTTAAAATTGTATGAATACAGTACTTGCTGCCACGAATATAAAGTCTCTAGTGCTAATTTAATGCCGTAAGCTGAGTCCAAGGTTGTTGATTTTTAATTTTTCTTTTTGCCTAAACAAATCTCATTAACTTATTAAAAATTAAAGACCAGATATCACCCCATCCCTCCATTTCCTCGCTTCCTTTTGCCTGCCGTCCCTGGCCCTCTGTGCATGGAGGTGCACACGCATGTTCATACGTTCACTCTCTCGGTAACTACCTTTAATCACCCCTCAGTGTTGCTCTGTGAGCCCCCGAATTCTTTTGCAGTTTGCCAAGTCACCTCCTTCCCCCAGGAGATTTGCTTTTGTCGGGACGTGGGCTTTGACAGCCACCCGGATAGCAATGAATCAGTGTTTTTATTTTTCCGACCCATATGCAAGTCAGCTTGCTTGATATAAATCATCCTGTGGCCAATTCACTTTGAAACGGGATATCCATTTACCAGCTGACTTTACTGCTGGGTTTCTGGACTGATGCGTCCAAAAAAACCTCCTTTTTTTAAAAAATGACTACAACTTTGTGACTAACCTTTCCAGACTGTATTTCTCAACTGCAGGCTGGTGTTTATTTTGGCTGGCTTCCCACTGTATAATATACACTGTTCATGCCAGCTCATGGCAAAACTCACAATTAAAAAAAATATAATAGCGCAGATGTTGGTCGTAACTCGCTCTGCGCACTTTACCTTCCTAGCACCGTCCATTCCTTTCTTCCCCTCTCTCCCCTAGTGTCACCTCCTCCTTATTTTTATTACTAATCCAAAAGTTCAATATTTGCTTTTTAAAAAGCATTTGATCGTGAAACTTTCCATTCATTGGCATGTCGTAGGGAGTGGCTGTCACGCAAGGGTAAGCAGACATCTTTAGTGGGTTGCTTTGCATACTGGAAGTTCAGTATTACCAACACACGAAAATCCCTCTGGCTGCGGTCCCATCCCTAGATTGTTTCAGGCCTCGTTTTCTTCTCCCTTGTGTTAGTGTCCACCGACTTCCCAGGAGCTGCTCTTGATTTACACTGGAGGAAGCAAAAGTGGAATCAGAATGTTTGTGTAGAGAGGAAATTTTGAAAAACAGCATGAATTTACAACTTCGCCGAACGCTTTAAATCCTTTGCGAATGTCCTGCGCTCCCCTGGAAGCTGTCTAACGAAAGGATTCAGTGAATGTTCTTTAACTCAGTTCCTCATTTAGTTTGAGCTGTTTCCAGAACTGTGCAAGTTAGACTGAATGCATGTAAAATAAATGTATCTAATACTTCTTTTTTTTTTTTTTCCCTCTTTCCTCCTTGCTGCATCCTGCAAAGGGGAACAACAGAGTAAGTTCTTTGTCCTTTTACAAAATCCTTTTGTATCCTGTCTCAAGGGTTTTATCAGGAAAATCGGTTTCTCTTTTGGTTCACACAACTATTGCCTGCATACTCTTAACAGAAAACTCTTATTACAAACGTGGGTGCAAAAGTGTCTTCTAGAAAACTATTAACAGCTCTTTGTTTTAATTTTGGGGATGGAGATGTGTTAAGTGTTGCCGAGTTGTTTTTTTTTAAGGCGGTTCAGTAAGAATGATACCATAAAACAGTATTGGGACCAAAGATTATGAAGGTATAGTAATAAAGACCTTCTGAGGAAAGGTTACTACAGTCTGATGAAACTCATTACAGCTGGATTTTTTGACCATACATCAAAGCTTGTATTAATGGGCAGTTATAAAAACCCAGCACTAAAGTCTTAAATAACAGATTTGCTGGCGTTGTTGGCTAAGCTGAACTAGATCAGTGTACTGGCTTTGAAGGTGCCTTAAAATGGATGGAGGAGGGTGGGGTCAACATTTGACTTGGCTTCTAGACCCTTGATGTGTTCCAGCTGGACAGCAGCAGAAGGGTGTGGGGTGTGGAGAGGGAGAACTGAAATATGCATGGTAGGGTTTTTGGGGTTTGTTTTTTTTTTGAAACTAAGCAGCACATAAAAAGACAGTTTTGCTGATGTTGATCTGATAAACTAATAATCAAGCAGTTCCCATGGTTAGTACTTTTTTATGCCCTTTTTACTGAGCTTAAGAATGGAAATTGCACATCTCACACTTTGGAATATGATGCAGAGAGAGTTTGTCATACCACGGAAAGAAGTTACACAGCTTTTGTGCTTTTTTTTTTTTTTTCCTCCCCTTTCCTGTTTTGGTATATTAACCCTTAGGAAGACGTATCTGGAGCATTAAAAGATGCTTCTTAGTGAATGTTGAAACTAGCTCCTGAAATATTGCCTGCAGCATCTCATTGTGAGCTTGAAGCATTTCTGGGGTATTTGGGAAAGACCCAGGTGGGTTTTAAATGTTCTGAAGGTTGGAGAATTTTGTCTGCTTTGAATTTTTGTGGCTTTAACCAGTTTTTGACTACTTCTGTCTCCATAGTAGCTGGCCTCAGAAGCACCGAAAATCTTGTTTTTTGTTGGCCTGCCTGAGAAAAGAGGCTCTTAGTCTTGGGTGGGGAGGGGTTAAGAGAAGTGCTGTGTTGATGGCATGGAGAGAGGGACTTTACATAGGAGGTGGTGTGAAATGTAAATGTTAACTGTGTACACTAAAATGTCAAGGTAATGTTTATAGTGTTTCTTTACGATATGCTGACTTAAGGCTTTGCTGCTGCAGTGGATGCTGATCTGATCTCCAGAGGAGAGAGGTTAGACTGTAGATGCTCTGTCAAGGGGAATGGGGGTAGGAGGGGCACCAAAGAGCTTTAGGGGCTGGCAGAAACAGAGTCTGGAGGTCAGGACTTGCACGAACCAGCTCTGTTCTCCAGAGACCTGAGCTATGGGGCACCCTGGGGAGGTCAGGACCAGCAGCATCTGACATAGAGGTAGTTGCGGGCCATAAGGCAGCATATCCATCAGCAAGTATAGGAGAAACCTGTGAGATGTGAGAATGGGTGAAGCTGTTAGCTCTCCTTTCACTCTGAGCAAAGGGCAATTCTTGCTGTAGGGTCAGAAATGTTCTCCCTCTGGCCTGGGCTGTCAGCCAAAAGGTAATTCCAAAAGAAATCTCAATGAAAACCATCCTGATCTTTCTCTTGGACCCAGTTCCTTGTAAGAATCCTTGTATCCTCATCTGTGTGTCGTCCCCCCCTTCTCTTTCACACAGGTCATTTGTGCTGGATTCTGGAGGTTACAGTGTCCCAATTAGGCAGAATTAACCTGCAGCTGCCTGCGGGGGCTCAAACCCCACAGACGTCTTGAGACTTCTGCACTTAGGGGCATAGAAAAGGAAACGGGTAGACCTGATGAGAGGCGACAAGAGAGTTTTTGAGAAGGAGTTGGGGGAAGAGTGGCAGGCTGAGGATGATGGTGGTTTCTCAAAGCTGCATTATCCTTCCTTCCCATGCAGGTACAGATTGACCGGGTAGCCAGCAGAGCTGTGACCCTCCTACCAGCGCAGCCTGGTGTGGCATTCGTACTGTGGATCATGTCATACGTACATACGTAAAGATCCTGTACCCACCCATTCAGATTGTGGCTGCTTTATACCTCTGCCTTTAGCTTTGCACTCTTAGATTTACAAAAGTAAAAATAAACATTGGAGTAATGAGTTCCTAAGGAAACGGGGGGGGAAGGGAAGTGAAGAGGGTTTATAATCGTCAGCGGACTACTAATCATTTTTATTTCTACTTTTTATTGTTGCACAATCATTAATGTAAGTGAGATTTCTCACATGGTTAAAGATAAATATATCTTCAAAAGCTTTGTTGGATAAAATCTGCAGAGGGGTCGTGTAGAATGAGGTAATGGAGACCTACCTCATTCAGCAAGCACATGTTGGCAAGCCCCATCTTACTAATATTAAAACTGAACTCCACTCCACAGCCTTGCGCAGAGCGGGCGCGGAGCATTGCGCAGAGCGTTGTAGCTTCAGTCCAGGTACTGGAGAAGAGGAGCTGAATGCCTCTGAGTGTCTTAACCCACCATTGTGAACTTGCTTCCTCCCCTGTCCATCTTCATCACCCTCATTTAAAAAAACAAAACAAAAAAAATCCCCCAAAACAGCCCTCCAGAGCCTGCTGTTTGAAAACAATGCAAAACCTGTAACGTTCTCATGAAGTCCAGCTTCAGCGTGCTGCTAACATTGTTAGCTTAAAAGATTACAGAGATGCTGTGTCCTTAGGAAATTTTTATTCCAACTCCCTAGGTACTCAAGCAGTAAAACAACAACTAAAAAACCCCCCAAAATGCCTAAGTGACAATTTTTAGTATAAAAATTCCTTTGTCATCCTTAAGCCCTGAGTTAGCCGATCATTTCTGCTTAATTTGAAGGATCAAACACTTTAATGCTGAGCTCAGACTTGAGAAAATTCATCTTGGAAAATAAAAATGTCATTAAATTACTTTTTGTGGAGAAAGTGACTACAAAGTTCTTACCTTCTAATTACTTTGCATTACTGTGCTTGCTGATAGCCTTTACAAAACATGTAGAACTGAAGTATATAAATCCTATATTTGCATCTCAGCGGAGTTGTCACAATGCAGATAATACTGTACATGTGAACATTCACGGAATATAAAGTCAGTGTAAATTAGTTTGAATTTTCTCTTGGGAAGAGCAGAATTCCCTTTGAAAGGAGAAGGAAAATACTCTCTCTGCTAGGTCAGTTTGCATGTTATTCCTTAAAATACTTCTTGGTGACATATTAATTGCTTATACTCAAGTTTTTCTTTTTTTCCTTTTTTTTTTTTTTTTTTTTTTTTAGCAGGGTAGTTTTACTAAACCCAGATTCCAGATCAGCTACTTCATTAAGATGACCAGATGTCCTACTGTCTCTTGAGACCGTCCTGGAAAAAGGGAACTTAGTGAAGTCAGGATACTTATTCTACCTACATATATGACAACAGCGCACTCAGTTCATTTATTTCATTCTTGGCCATTGACATGTAAATGCAGATGTAGTGCCAGAAGCCGTATGTATCTTTGCACTGTAATAAGGCTCTGATAATTTCTTTTCCAATTTCAGCCATGTTTCTGAAGGGTCTTCGATTACTTCCCAGACATAAACTCTGGCTCAGTCAGTTACTGGCTGTGGTGATGCTCTACAAGCACCCCAGCCAGATTCAAACTGAAAGTAAGTGGTTCTGCTCTGGGATTGCTGAAGTCCCTGATCGAGTTAAGTTCCTGAACTAGAAAAAATAAAGTCTCATTTGGGTTTGTTGTGTAGTGGTAAGTTGAAAAGCAAGCTGTGCTGATATGTCAGAGAGTAAAATAGCGTAGACAGAAGTGTAAACTGTACGTTTACTGGTTTTACTTTTTTTTTTTTTTTTAAACTGATATATTTAAGAAAAGGAAGGCATTGAATTCTAGGAAAAGAAGAATCCACTTCAGTTATGACTGAAATTGGTTTCAGGCCAACTGGGTTTAAAAATAACTTCTAAATGAAGAAGTGTTAAATTATTTTCTTTTTTTTTTTTAAGTGGAAAAATGCCATAATTTTATAGACAGTGTTTCAGTCATTGCTTCGAACAGATGAATTGAATTTTACAATGAAGTCACGGTGTAAAGGAGCAGACCAAGCGAGTGAGTGTGCATGCGCACACGTGCTGGGTCAAAAGCAATCCAAAAGACAGGGAGGAAATGAAATGGCAGGCTGTTTCTCAGTCCCTGTCTTGCTGCCTCACTGCTTCAAGGCTGTGAAAAAACGTTGCAGATAAAACCTGTCATCTTGTTCTCCTAACTATTTGCTAGTTTAAACAAAAACTAGATGCAACCTTGTTCCCCCCCAGTGTTCCCCGAGAAACAGAGCAGCCCTGGTTTATATTCTCGTAAGAGTAAAATAATTGCTGGCATGAGAGAGTTAAAAATATACAGGGAAAAAGAGATTCATAGTATTGCATCAGTTGCACTGACTGTAACAAGATGCAGGCCAACGGACGGAATGATTTCAAAACCAGTCCCGGCGAAACAAGTAACTGCCTATCAGGGGTCGGGGGTTCAATAGCTGTCACAAGGTTTTACATTTCTGCTGTTAAACGGGACTGCTGACATTAAGCGAACGCCAGGAAATTTAGAAATGAGCAAACATTTTTTTTTTTTGTTTCTGTAACGTATTCATGGTGGGCTTTTCACTGTGCTTTTGGCAAGGCATCCGCATATTGAAAATATTTTTAAATTCTTCATTCTTTATGGCGCAGCTAATTTGTGCACCACTTCCACTCTGATGAAGGGTTTCATTGAAGCTCTACAGCAAGGTGCAAACTCTCTGGTTGTAAAGTTTCAGATCATGGAGCGTGAGTGTCAGCCCTATTCTGGACATCTAACGAGATTTGCCCTGGGGAAGGCGGCGAAGGC